ATATACTGTATCTATTTATTGTGTGATTACTTTTAACCTCTTCTGAACATAAGAAATAAAACATGTTATACAGTAGCTGTTCAAGAAAAAATCTACAGTATGTGAAAATCACCAAAACGAAAGTTAATAATGATTTTGAATGAATGTAGTCACTGGTCATCAGTTAGAAACCATTCCTTAATAGTTGCAATTGCACAGTCTAGGAAATATGCAAATGCTCTCAACATCAAATGCAGTAAAGCAGATTTAGGAGTTATGTCCAGGCATGACACAAGTGGAAACACAGCAGTGTCAATAGATGGTGGAATACTACAACCCACAACAAATCTAATCAGATGTATCGTAAGACAACATTCAACAATATGACAGAAGGAATATCACTTGCTACAACCTTTTATATAACACTTGTTACAATAATAACTAACAGTCTTTTAGTAACTTTTTAGGTTTTAGGAATGATCTTTTCTGATTAAGGAAAATCAGCTTTTGACCAAAATACCCTTATAAAAAGTTTTACCTCTTAAGATTAAAACAATTTGTGTTATTTTTCTGTTTTCTCATATTTGTTTTTATATTAAAAGATATTTGATGCATGGCACAGAGCAGTTGTCTCACTGCCATTTCACACCACAGCTTTCATTTTCAGTGTCTCTTAACATGCCATGTGTTAAAAAAAGTTTTCCAGACTCACGATTTCACTGGTTACTAGGACTCTAATTTGTGCATGGTTCAGACGCTGAAAATATCACTGACTATAAAAATGTAGACTATTCATATTGATGGGCTTTTGCCTCTATAAAATATTTGATCGTAATTTCTACAACTATAACTTACCCAAAAAGTCGATCCACAGAAGCTGTCGAGGGCTGTGGACATGATGTTGAGAGACGCTGGAGTCTCACCTCTGGAAGGGGGTCAGTGTATCCAATGCTCCTGGTATCTCTCCCAGAAATGCAAGGCATAAAATGCAGCTTTCTAAAAACTATGATAGATTATAAGGCTGGCAACAAACAAACAAACCTCATAGAGGTGAAGGGTTGCGCATGATTCAGCAATAAGAGCAGACTGCCCTACATGGCCCCTACCTCTATTCTCCCAATCAGAAGTGTTAGCAAAGTGCATGAAGGTAATGACTTCATGCGATAAACACAGTATCATAAACTCTTGCTCTTCTTTGTTGACTGGCAAAGGACCACATTAATGTGTAACTGAACCTTTCGCACAACAGGACAGTATTATCCGCTTCTTGTGGGCTGTGTTTTTCCTTTGGTCATTTCAAGAAAAAGTTTCAGAAACCAGCAGGAAAGCAAAGAGAAGAAAGAGCTCCTATCCCAAAGAAGCAGTAGATAATAACAAGCAGGGTCTGTTTCCTGAGAGGGAAGAGTAAAGTCCATTGCAATCAGACAGGGAGGCAGGGCAGTGAGGATCGTGAGTCTGGTTTAAATTCACCCACCCT